GTAGAGATTAAAAACTATGGGGCTCATATACTTCCAAATCATTAGGGATTGCCCTGCAATTTTAGGCTTTCAATTTAACAGTATTTTTTTCATTCATTATTTAATCCAGGAATGTGTAGGTCAAAGTATTTACGATATTCCAAGTTTTAAAATTAGAAGTGGTTGACTAAATTTCTACAAATGCACCAAGCAAAAATCAAAAGTATTCGAAAAAGTTTATTGGCTAGGATTTGTAGGTACATGCAAAAAATGGAACCAACATTTAAAAACTTCAAGTTTGGGGTTGCTTGTTTTTGTTTTTTCCGATAGAGAACAGCCCTCACAGGAATCCCAACAAAATATCAAGTTTTCAAAACTTTCAGACGAGACCTTCCCTTCGCTTAGGAGGCTCTTGATGGCCGGGGTGCCAGGAAGTTCGTGTTTCCAAGCGTTTTGGCGTGCGGGCCGGCACTGGGCGTCAGCGAGCACCGGGAGCAGGGCCGGGCGACGGGGCCGGGCAAGCCACCTGCTTGGGGCCCTGCTGCCGGCCAGCACTTCCTTGCTGGGAAGCCTCCTGTTTAACAGCAAAAGCGGGATTGTGCATCTAACTTACGATTTTTACATTTTAATTTACGTTCTTTTGCTTTTGCCAGCTTCCTACTCTCTCTTTCAGTAGGACCCTCTGCTACCTCACAGCTATTTCATGTTACCTTTTCACACTTTCTTTCTTCCTTGTGTACTATCTCCTTCTTCCTGTTCTTTCATAAGGACTTATTTTGCTCTCTCTTTCTGGAGTAACTGCTGTTTGCTGCAAGTTGATCCCTTAGCAGCAGAACAGGAGGAACTCCCCCACTGCTTAGCTCCGCTACATGTAGAGGAATGATTTTATCACTTAAGACCATAGTCTGTGCTGATTTATACTTCATACAGACTCATAAATCAGTGCAATATTTGGATAGTAAGTTATAAACTCAGGTCAAGGAGTTTCTTCAAGCACTTTTTAAAGCCTCAGGTACTCTATACCTCACAAGGCAGAAGTAATTTTTGGTGTCTAACATTGCTTTTCCTTTATGAAGATAATACAGTCTTGGACTTACTTTTTCACATCACAGAAAATCCCCTTGACTTCCACTATGCTTCTCAGAGCCCCAGATTAAACACACGCACAGTTTTTTTGCAGAAGCTGGCCCGGGATGGGTGGTTTTTTGGTTTTTTTTTTAACTCTACAAATTGTCAATAGCCCCTTAGCAGAGAAAGGATTTCACTGAATTTGTTTTTAGCTAATGCCAGGAATATAGTTTAAGAACCAGCTCTACTGTGGCAACTCTTACAGAAAAGTGTTAGTATGAAAACAAATGATGCATATTCCAATACTTGAAAGAGGGGGAAAAAAATCCTTTTTGGAAGCATTGCAAGGGCTCTGTCCCTGCCCATGCTGGGAACCGAGCCTTGAGGCCGGTGTATTATTCAACAGTTGTGGACCTGATCCACTTCCAAAGGAGACCTCTCCCCCTGTTTTTGTATAGATCACTAGATACCAGCTGCAGTTATTTTAAGGAAATCTGAGATTATCACAGCTCAGAAATTCTTGTCTCACTTGCTGGGGCCCAAAGCTTTGTGCAGTACATTAACCCTTTGGGGCTGTGCATGCTCGTGTGAAAACAGTTGATTTATGACTTATTTAGGAAGTGCTTCAAGTAAGCAGTAGCAATGCCTACATAAAGCATTTCCTTCTTTATTATGCTAAGTGGCAGATTTAAATGGTGCATGGCATCGGGGTACCACAGGAAGCCACGTTTTGTCCATTCATGTCTTCTGTCTGCCTTTCCTTCCCTTTAGTCGCTGACTCACTCGGAACGGTGTCTGCTTAGCAAGCCTATGCATTCGCATGTGCTTGTGCCTAAGCACTCAGACATGCATGCTTGAATATGTATAGTTAAATTAACTTTTCTGCTGCTCTGGCCATCATCTTTAGTCTCTAGGGGTATTTATAGCAAATTATTGTTATAAAAAGAGACCTGATAGGCCCTATCAACGTTTTTCATTCTTACCTTGTCCTCAGTTTCCAGATTAATGAAGAAATATAATCTATTTCTTCTCCCAAATGAGACTCACCAGAACAAGGCATTTACTAAGTGACCTTATCTTGATCAGTTTTGGACCCAGACCAGCCACGAGAGTAACTGCATGAAAAATCCACAGACCTAAGCTGACCTATACGGATTAAGAATGTGGTACCTTATTTGTTAAAGTAAGTACGGAAAAAGGCACTTAAGAAAAATATCACAGAGCATGCTAAAGAATATTGTAGGCCTATTGCATAGAGCAAGAGTATTACATACTCGACTGAGGTGATGTAAAATTGTCAGTGAAGTCATATGTCTTAACAGAATGTTAACAACAAAAAAATTAATTAACCTTGAAATCTATTTTAGACATTAATATCTAAACTTTAAAAATTACGGTTAGTTTTCTGCAAACAATTACACAAGTAAAAACTACAAGCCTGAAAATGCTGAAGTTAAAATAATTTTTTTTTTCTTTTAAAGTGAGAACTCTTCCAATTAGTGAACTACTACAAGAGTTATAGTATGGAAACACGTCTTAAATTTTTATGCTTTGGCAATACAATGACAAAAAAGTCACCTGCACATTAAAAGAGCCAGGTTTTATACCTTAAATCAGCTACAGAATAATTGGTTATTAAAAATGACCAAATCATCAAAATATATTACAAGCATATTTCAAAGATACCAACAAACCAATAATATTTTAAAATATGTTATATTTTTTCTTCTGCACATGAAGAAAATGGATTTCAATCAGTATAAACTTATGATCAAAAAATTAAATATTGGAATGGTGAATAACCTTAACAGTAATGAAACCCAATGCATACGATCTGAAATACACAGTATCATTTTATGTTATTAGATTAACATAGCACCGTAACAGTCTTGTGTGCTTCAAAATCTTGATATAAAATACAAGATATAAAAACTTGTGTAGCAATCAAGAACAAACAATTTAAAAAAGCTGATGCATGTATAAAAACGTGTAAAAGTCAAGCTCACTTTCTTTCCAATAAGCGTAGTTCAGCAGAAGTACCGAACCAAGTTATTTGTATCTACTGCTCCTACTTAACAAGATAGGTTATAATTTACAGGATAGTAGTCTACCATTCAGAAGGTGGTATAATATAATTTAGTTGGGAGAATTTTTTAGTTTATCCCTGCAACTCCTGTTGGTGGAGTCTGATACGATTAAAAGTACCCTCTTTGTTAAACTGTATACAGATAACCCAAAATATTGCTTTCTAACTCTCAGTCTAATAGACAGATAGTCTCTATCTGAGAAGCTGAATTCTTATAAAAAGTACTTATAAAAACCTGCAAAAATGGTTAGCACCCAAAAATCTAGCATCTGTGGCTTTGATGTGAAGCTCAAAATGATTGTCAAATGGCCACTTCAAAAGTCAGTGACTTTACCCAATAGTAAAGTTAAACGTTTGACTAGAAACTAAACCTACAGATCTCCAAATATTAATTAGGAAGCAAATGCATATGTTTAACATTCCCAAGATTTTTGTAGCTTCTCAAACAAGATTTAAAGGCATTAGATTGTATTCTGATGTTTCTCCTTCTTCCAAACATGGAAGCTTGTATGTTCATTAACACGCCTCTTCACCATTTTGGTGAGCAATGAAGTAAAGTTTGTTTTCTATGTCTAGTTGTCAGCTACAGAAATTTGGGATTTTCATGGAGGCGTTCCCACAGCAATGAGATGAGGAAGCCTTCCAAAGTAACAAGCGTGAACTAGATTGCTGTATCTCAACATGGAGACGTGGTCTTTAGCGAATGCCAACGTAATTTGTTGGCATTTGTTGCTCTAATCCAGTTCTCTGGATCATTCTGCACATACAGTGAAGTGATGTATGCACAGCTTGCATATGAAGAATTGGAACAGACCCCTGAGAAAAATCAAATCCACTGGAAAAATGTGTTGCTTAATAATTGTTTAATAATATCAGTTTGAGAAGTTTCAATTCTTCCGTTGGAAAAAAATGATGGGGTAGTCATCTTTTTCTAATGTGAATTATTACAATTTATCACATCGGTGAACATAAATACAGTTTGGGATTTTAAGTGCATATCTAGGGTTGATTAGAATTAAAAATAATTCGTTTGAAAATTCTACCCATCCCCCAAAGATTCAACATTACTCAAGTCATCAAAATACTACTTGCGGGCTTTGAGTTCAAAAATAGCCTGACATGCAATGATGTTCTCTCAATAACTGCTGCAGCACATTTTCACTCTATCATAATATGGGCACTCAGGGAGTTCGCTTCAGCTCTCTTCAGCCTTGTGTGCAATTCTCATCGTTCCCATGTACCCAGAAGCAAATCTGAGCATATTTGAGAGGAGTAATTCTTACTGCTACATTATAATCCTGCTGTTCACCATTGACATCCACCCACTGATGGCCTGAATAAACAGCAATGATCTTGCGTTTCCACTTCTTTTTGTTTGGCTCCTTAAGACGGAGGTAGACTCCAGATCCAGTGGAGCCAGGCTCAGCATCACAATACTGATAAAAGAGATCATTGGACTCATCAGAAATGCTACAAAACCGATAGACCAGCTGCCCAGAGCGATCATTGTCAAAACCTGAGAAGTGGATCATGCTCCCAGGCATCATTTTGATTGTTGGGCTGATTCCCAGCTCCATGTATTTCCTTTTGTGGGGACGCTTCAGCTCAAGAACAGCATAATCATAATCCAGGGCAATATCCCCAGAGACACCCTTAAACCAGCCTCTTGGGATGTGGGTACTCTTCACCCTGGTCCACTGGAAGGCGGGCACTCCATCTGAGGTACCCTGCTTCCTCCCCAATCTCCTCTGCTTTCTCCCACCACCTCTGGAGCGCCGCCTCAGTTCTGTGGCAACTTCAGGATCATCTAGGGTCTCAGAAGCTTCTCTCCTACTTCTTTTAGCACTTTTGCGTTTCCTGCCATTACCTTTGGATTTTGTCTTCATCAATCCCACCCTCAGTTTTTTGCTGCCTTTAACATAATCCTTGCCATCATGCAGACAGTGAGCAGCTGTTAGCACGTGCTTAGGGGAAATGAGAATGCCGCTACAGCCGGTGGAGATCTTCACAGCTGTGTTGAATGGGTAGTTGGTCATAAACCGCTTGTCATAGATGCTGAACCTACTGTCTGTTCCATATATCTGCCTCTTCTTTCTTGCAGACATTCGTGTAGTCACGTTTTCAGCTGGATCAAGCATTAGTCCAAGGACATTCACTTCGGTCAGGGTCCGTGTGCCGTTTTCAAAAACAGTCTCATAGGACAGGATGTCCTTCAAGTCAGACAAGCTTGGCACTGGCAATTTGCTTTGACATTCAATTCCACATACACTGTTCAGCTCTAATTTGGTTTTTGCTTCAAATGTAGGGCTGTCAAGGGAGAAAGTTCTTTTGCTCACAATCTGGGGTACTTTCTTTAAGTGCCAAGTAAAATCTTGTTCCGTTTCTGTTCCATTAGCAAGACCCAACATAGGTATGGAAAACATGAGTAGCAGTAAGACGTGCTCCATTTTGTCTATTTTTTTCTAAAACAAGAAAGAGAGATTTAAAAATACGCATTTGAAATATACATAATTATCTTAGCATCTTAAAAGTATAATCATGCAATATTAACACTAACATTGGTGGAGCAGAATTCTCGTTAAAAAACAGAAATGCCTCAAATATTTTTGTGTTCCTTTGACACTTCTGCCAGCCTCTGAAAAGACAGGTGCAGACCAGTCAGCCAGCATCCACGTTGTGTTACCTACCAGAATTTGGCAACAGTTGAGTTTTACCTGCCTCTCCCTCAATGGGGGCAGTAGCCTGAGTCATTCCATTCTGTTCAGCCCCTTATTTTTATTTATCCCACAGGAATGTAATTATCTTTTAAATCTGCTTCTCTTCCCAACTACTGGTTGTAGGTAGAACATGGTTGAAAATGGCCAATACATTCAAGAATCCCATTCAAAAGATGGGATGAAGACAAAGATGGTCAAACAGACCACTTGGACTTATTCCCTTCGGAAATCAGACTGATCACATTCTTTGACATAATGGCCAAAAAGCAGCAGCTTTAAGTGACCTAAAAGCCACCAACGGTTTTGCATTACCCATCCAGCTGCGATCGGTGAATTTGCTAACTACGGAAAATGGTACTTTGATAATTGCTCTCCCCAGGAACCTACTTGGAAAGATCTTTTTCTTTCAAAAGGTTATGTGGCCTAGGAGTGAAAAAGGAGCAATTTGGACACCTAAACAAGGTGGCCAGTGCCATTTCAGGTGCCTCCAGCTGCTGCTGCTGTGAAAGGCATGGGTCTCCTGCAGCTTCCCTGTTCTAGCTCCCTATGTCCTGTGGCCACCAACCACGCTCTGGATGTCAGATGCCCTCAAAAGCTGTGGTCGGAGGGGACACGATGATGAAAAAAGTAGAAGGTGGTTAGTTTAGAGGAGTGTCCTGGTTATATACATGCAGGAAAGCCCAGCCAAGCAGGAGGGACAAGTCTGATGATCACTGCATGCTTCGTCTCCTGTGGGATCCCACAAAAGCTACAGAAACTGTATTGTCTGTGGTTTACAGTCACATGCAGACAGCCCCACCTAGATAGGGTGATGCACCACACAAAGAGCTAACACTTTAAACAGGCAAGACAAAAAGAAATGGAGTATTATTCTGATCTGCAATTGAGAAACAAACAGAAAGAACGTGAAATTTAGAACTCTGTGGCAGAGCCAGAAACTGAACCCAGGACTTGGTTCTCAGCTCAAAACATTACTGAAAAGACCATTTTCCTCCTTTGGCAGGGGTGATGTCAGCAGCATTAACCAGCTTCTGACTGCTGCCATTGGGAAAGCTGAGCTTCATTCTCATATCCCTTATTCCAATTACACAGAAACCTCAAGTATGTAGGAAGAAAGGGCCTATAATTAAACTTTAAAATCTAGGCAATTCAAGAATATGTATGTGGTTAAGGTTTCCGGTTTATACTGGAAAGGCACAGTAAATCAGGGTAAAGATAACTGCTTTGCATTTCTTATGTTTTGTTTAGAATAATACGAGTATCACCATGCAGTGAAATAGCCTGGTTACAGGCTAGCTAAAGGCATAGCATGAAAAAGAGTATGTAACATATGTATGTTACATATGTAACATGGAAAAATAAGTGATAACGTCACTTTAAAGGGTCCACAATGGGCCAGCTCCTGTAACTTTGAGGCATCTGCACCATTTAGACTATGTTCTTGTCTATAGCAAGTAACAACTATCACTTTTTAGCCAACTTAGCACTGTGGTTCAAATGCAAGTTGTTGCTTTTGACGCCAAATTCAGATTGGTGATTTTCTGTTTGTGGCATTCTTGGCAATTTTTACCTTAGCTGGCATGGAAGACCAAAACTGACCCCTAGACTTACTTACTGGGCTATACGTAAAACACATTTTACGATACAGTATAAAGATACCCATCATGGCTTCAAAGTAGCTAATTCAGGTTCTGGAAAATATCGGGGAATGTTAGCACAGAGCTTAATGCAGGCTAATCTGCTCCGCTTTGAAAGCACAGAAGATCTTGCACGGGCTTATTTTCACCTGCCTTAAGACATCTCAAAGTTAGAGTTCTGTCTTAGCCTGTTTTGTGCTTCCTCTATACTGAATCCAGAGAGAGATTTCAGAAGAACAATTCAGATGATTTTGCTGAGGATTGCTTTGAATGGACTGAGCCCCCTTCTGTACCACTGTGCTCCAAGTACAGAAGTAGCGTAGGTGATCAGCTAAGTCTAGACATCCATTTTCTTGATGGTTATATTAGGCAAGAGAACTCCCACCTTAATATTATAAAGTATGGATCAATGACCACTTTTCAGCCCTTTGCTTCTCTTTAACTGCTTTGCGCATAAGTATGTACAAGGGTAAACTGATCCTTTAGTCTAGCCATAAAAGAGAGAAAGAAGAGCCTCTGAGAAAATGAACCTTAAGGTTACCCAGGTTCTGCTTTAGTACACAATTTGTTCCAGGCCATTAATATGCAAGTTACAACATTTCGTAACTTGGGAGATGAGTGTAAAAAGGTATACAGGAGCATAAAGAATCTTAATTTATTCTACCAAACACTTGTCTTCTATATTTCTCTGTTCAGCTCTAAGAAAAGCTTCAATGCAATTATAGTGTGGCCATGCAAACCAGAGCTGGGGCTGTTCAGCACCCAGGCCCCCCACAGGGTTTTGATTTTTTCCCCTCACGAGCACTGGAGAACGGAGCACTGGATTTCCAGGCATGCACCAGTACTTCACTGCTTCTGCACTGACTGGGTTTTCTCTGATTCAGAACCGGGCTCTCCCTCCCCTTTAAAGCTTTTGGCCAGATGACAGTTTTTGAGAAGATATATGGACTTTTGTAAGACATCTGGAGATGTCTTACATCTGACTCACAGGCCGAAGTTCTTGGGTGTATGCAGTCCTACTAAAAGATATTTGAAGGTTCTGAAAGCAAAGCAGAGTCATCCCAGAAGCCAGATTTTGCTGAGACACACCAATTGGCCAGTCTAGGCCAACTGAGTCTAGGTTACTGCTGTACTAGAAATGCATATATTAATCATTAACTTTTCTATATGAAGTTACTTTCAAAGTGTTATTTTGCTTATTGCTTAATTAGTAATAAATTCGAAGAGAAATGATCATTTTCCATGTTGGTGGATTAGTGGTGAGGTGTCAAAAATGAAGAAATACTATGACGAGAAAATAAGAATAGCTTTCTTGGCCTGACCAAAAGCTGACCTAGCCTACAATCCTGGCCAAATGTGGATGTCTAGGGTAGAGCACAAGCATAGGGCAATTTTATATGACTGCCTCCCCAATAATCTCTTAGCTTACAACCATCTGCACTTCATGGACTGTAAGTCAGAGGTAGTTACTACAGAGTGAGTAAACCTCAATGGATTTCTCTTCCACAAAGTTGCCCAGTGTTCTCTTGAACCTATATAAAATTTTGTATCCATGGTGTCCTGCAGCAAGCAGCTCCAAAACTTAACTACGTGGGTAAGAAAGCATCTCTTCTTTATTTTTAGCCTGGTGCAGACTAGCATGCTTTGATGGTTAATGATGTGGTATTAATGTGGAAAAGCTGGATTTAATTTGTTTTGTCCTAGTGTAGCTGCTGAAGAGATACGAGCTATTAGGAAACCCAGTTCTTCTGTCAGGCTTGAGAATGCCTCTTCTAGGTTTTTCTCCTAGAATACTCCTTCCTTTCTAAGCCCTTCTTCGGCATCTGGATATTTGATATTTTTCTGAAGCTGAATGTTGTGAGCACTAAGGCAAGTTAATTCTCTAACTGCTAGTTCATACAGAAAGGCTTAGAGGTGCCCAAGCTGATGTCATTTCACTGAGACAACTGAAGTCTTCCCAGCTAGACCCATAACTAACTTTGCTGTATATAGCGACTTTCTGCAACCAAATGGGTGGAGTACTGTGGCTCCCTGCAGCCACTCCAAAAAAAAAACCCCTCACTGGATGCAATGGAGCGTCCTGTTTGAAATATTATACTCAAGTGCTCAAGTTCTTATAACGGCAGTTTTGGAAGCCAAGATTTTCATCATTTATAATGAACCACTTGCTGCTTCCCATGAATTAACCGGACTACACGAGAACTGGAAGAAGTCCAGGCCAAGGAACTTGATGAAAATGGTAATTCCCATTCCAGAGTAGGCCAGTGGTCCTAGTAGGTAATATTGTCATTAACAGCCAAACACACTTAAATTCTCTCTGCTTACTAACCTGAACTCTCCTGCTTAAGCAGCGCCAGCCTCAAGCATAGGCAAAGGCAGCAGCTCCTACGGCCCAGGACAGGCTGCTGGCAAGGGGGGGCTCCTCTTATCTGAGGATGGGGATTTAAATATGTAAAGGGCTGCAAAGACATTTCTGCAGGGTGCAACAAGAGGAGCATACAGCCTTGTAATCCAGAGGAAGGAGAAAGGGCCCAAGAAAGGGGTACAGGCCGGAAGCAAGATGAGCCCCTCAAAATCTTACTCGCCCTTTCTGCCATGCTATTCTCTACTCTTCCTCTAAACCCCAAGCTGCTCTGCCCTCCCTTTTTCTCTGCTCCTTTCCCATACAAATTTTGGGTTGGCTTACAAGCGATTAGAAGCTTGGAGTTAGCTCTGCCTTTGTGGTAAGAAGCGTTGCTTCAGAGAAGGCAAAAAAAAGCTGGAAACAAGAGGAAGTGAAAGACCGATATCCCTGGCCCCATGAAATTTCCAAATTCTCCCTCCAGTTTCCAAATGCACCTGACAACTGTGAGGTCTCTCTTCTGGTGGCATTCCAGCCATACATGCATACGTATACAGTTAAAAAAGCATTTTCAGCTCTTCTCACTCCCCGCTTTCAACATCACAAACGTTTCTGCCTTCACAGGACAAAATATGTCCCATTTCCCATCTTGCCAAGATATCCTTCAGCTATGTTGCCAGCACAACCCATCTTACTCTAGCAGGATGCACCTGTATCTCACATGCTCAGGGAAAGGCTTGGATGCAAGCCGTCCTAGAATA